CAATACAATCATGTTGGAAAAATTTTACATACAATCTGGTTTTCCAAAAATCTTCTAGAAAACCTGTTTTAAAAAATCTTCTGAAACTTATTTTACTCGCGAAAACATGTTCCCAAGTCTCTTGTTTCGCATCGCGAAAACCGGAGCTCCCTAGCTGCTTTCTATCAAAGTTATGCTCTACTGAAAATAGCTGGGACATGTCCCACCGGCCGTCAAAGGGTTAAGAAAATGTTCTATTACATTGAATATTAGTAGTGATCGTTCATCACCGCTGTTTTATTCGCTCTCTCGAATTAAAGTTGTTTAGTCATTCCGCTACGTATCTAAATTGATTCCAAATATAAAGGTATTAAATGTTAAATGCTAATGATTTGATGTACAATCGACATCCTATATCAACTATTGTTTTGAAAATATACCGTATGAAGTCACCCGTTTACAGGAGTTTCAGTTAGCTTTGAACCAAGTTTTATCTGCTGATGGTTACGATGTGATAGAATTACTGATTAAGAATCTGTTTAAAGCACGAGGATATTAATGTCTCTTAGGTAAATATACAGAAACAAGAGTCCATTGCAATGGATTCCCGGCGGAGCAAAATTGTATACTCCTTTCCTTCTAAATAAGATTTTCTCCTCCTTTTACCTCCTTTTACTCAATTTTTCCTCCTTTTTGGCAAAAAATGGGCATAGTTGCTGGTGTTAGAACAGTGCTCGATCAAACAGCCTATCTGAAACTTCGAAGGCGTTTCAAAACAAATTTCAGTCGATCGTTATTCCGTCTGTTAAGGGGATAGAGTTATCATACAACATATTTCAGAACTGTTTTATTTCGACTATCGTAGCAAAAAGAAGAGTTAGTTCATGAAATTCTCTTCGTAATTTTCTGATTCGTTTTTACGGGAAAAAACTAGATATTAACCAAGATGATTGAACTGACTGTTTTCTACGCACCAATGTAAAAAGCTCCTAAAAATCAGTAATTGTTTTCGATATATCTAATAAGATTCGAGTAACCTTAGTTGACTCTCTTTCACCATACCTTGAATAAAAAGATAATATAATATGTCTAAAAAGTTTCATCCTTCAAGCATTCTTTTATAATATCCATATTTATAAGCAAATCACCAAATGATTTATAATAAGAAAGTGTACATTTATATAATTCAATCCGCTGTTTTCTCGATATTATTGTCTAGCAGTGCATTGCCGTAAAACCGTCTGATGCGCCAATGTATTGTGATAAATTAATGTTTTTCAGCTTAAAATTTACATTCTTCTTTTTTGTGTGCGTTCCTCTCTTCAAAATTTTCCGATTTCTCTTTAGTTCCTCTTCTAGAAAATCTTCTGTATAAAGCCAGATTTTTAGCAAACGTAAACTTTTCCTCTGTACTTACTTTTATAATCGTACCATTTTTCAGTTCAAAAAGAGTTCAGTCGCTCGATTGAGCGATAAAGTTTCACTTAAGCGATTTTCAGAATTACATCCGTTCGGTTACTACAAGTAAAAGTCGAATTTTGATTTATCACTGAGAAAATTCATTTTTTCTAAATCAGGATCAGGAAAAGTAATTGTTTCCACGAGATTCAGCGTGGTCGATTACCTATGTTTCCATTTATTTGCCGAATTACCACGGAATTATTTTAGGAAAAAACGTATCAAACGCTGAAAAAACGAGTCTAACTATCACAAATGTGTGCACATGTGCCGCACTACATTCGCACATGCGCCATTCGATGCGCATTGACGAGTTCTTTCGAATGATATATGACACTTGTACTTTTCATCTAAGAAATAACGTTTTCTTTCGTCAAAACCCTAAGGATTTCCGTAACTCTAGAAAATCTTCTGATTCACGGTCGCCACTGCACCAAGTGTAGGAAAAATATTATATTCATAGACAATCGACATTCCTCTCGAATGCACATCTCTGAATCTTTTTCTATTTAGCTTTGATTTTTAAAAATGTTTTTTCTAACCGTACAATACCGTTGCAATTCACTCTTATATATTACCTATCGTATTTTATTGCTTTCAGCGGCAGCAAACATGAGAATTTTCATAAACTTACAACACAAATGAAAAAGATGAGATAAAGTATTACATTATACGCTTACGAAAATGGAAAATATATCTTACATTAACATATTTCTCAAATAGAACCTGTTATAAAACGCAATCAATTTATCTACTACTGTTCTTCTATTGGACTTGAACCTGCAAAATGTTTCAATGTTTTAAAGTTTTTTTGCCACAGTTTCCATACACCATCCACACGATATTCAATTCCATTCTCTAATGCAAATTGTTTAATAATTGGTACTAGTGCTTTATAACGGTATTTAGGCATTGTTGGAAATAAATGATGTTCTAACTGATATTGCATACCACCCCATAAATAATTCATTAAAATACTTTTCGTATGAACATCGCGAGTAGTAGCAAACTGTGATTCTACAAAACTATATTTAGACATATCTGACAGAGTATCAAGCATGTCTTCTGACTGATGTGTAGCGGTAACTATAATAGCTACTAGAAATCCACCTAATAATATTGATCCTAAAGCAACTTGCCAGCCTAAGAATACTAACCATAGATAACCAATACTCGTTAATGTCAATTCATTAATATCTTTATGCCGATATATCCATTGTAATGATTGTATTCTCCAACTAACAAATGTAAAAAATGAAATAATATAAAAA